GCGTGTCAGGCAGCTGCTGCCAAGCTTGAGCCGCCTCATTGGCGTCATCGAGACAGCGCTCGCAGCGCGCGATGACAACCGCGAGTTCTTCGCGAAAGGACAAGCAAGCTCGGAGCACCCCGACATGAGCATCCACCCGCACAAAGTCGCCGACTTTGAAGAGGATGCCGGTGAAGCCTTATATATTCGTACACACAAGGGCATGTTCCATGAGCACACAGACAAGCATATACTGAAAAAGCCCAGCAGCGCATATGATCGGACACGGCCACGTCAGTGTCCAGGCGCGTCGAGCGAACAAGACCATCCGCATGCGGCGCAGTTGCCTTCTCGTAGGTCTCTGCTCGCACCTAGCTTTTGTAGGTCTCAGGGTCGATGCTGGCTTCCTTCTCGTTTTTTTTGCCCTTACCCTTCGCTTTTGCTTTAGGCTTAGCTGCTGGCTTTGCTTTTGGCGTAGTGGGCGCGGCGGAAGCGGCTCGTTTTCCCATGGCTGCGCTAGCTAGGTGGCCGAGGCACGCGAAAGCGGCTATCCCTACCCTATGTTGGATTGGAGTACGGGCCAAAGTAAATGAATCAGGCCACTATTCAATGGTTTTCCGTGTTATTCCAAAATGAAAAGTTCGAGATCCCTAGGGCACCTTGGTTGACAGTGAGGTGGTGAAAGAGGAGTAGGTCAAACTGATGCAACCTAATAAACTCATCATCGCTATCAATATCAATATTTTTGCCGCGCGGATGTCTCCGCTGCGGCATCTGCATGCTTCGACTGCGTGTATTTGCAAGCACATGGATCACTTGCAAACAAAGTATATATGACAGCTGCCTGATCTAACATAGTAAGATAAATTCTTGAAACCAGATATTGGAGTGCTATCTGATGGATGTGGATGTAAGTCGTACTGCGTGTGTTTGTGATTGAAATGAATCTTGATCATGTGTCGTGCATCCATGCTTATGTCCCTTGCGTTCTGATATGTGTGTGCTGTAAAAAATACAACATGTTCACACATGCTGTAGTGTCTCAGTCACAAAATTCATCCTGGAGACTACGTAGTCTTTATTTTTTTTGCGTGCCTTAAGCTTGAGTTTTTCATTAATGGATGTATCTGTGACTCATTTTTGACGCACAGTCTAATATCAAGCTTGCTTGTGTTTCATTGTTCGAAAACGTGCATCTGTTTGCAGCATGTGGATTCACTCGAATGGATTTCCCACATTCACACAATCAACAGTTTATTTTGTTGACGGTGTATTTGATGCCTGTTTTCATATCTTCACAATTTGGTTTAGATTTTTTGCATTGTTCATTGATATGCCCAGATCCTTCAGGATCAGTTTTGTTTAAAGTATTAGCTGCATAACCATATTTTGAAAAAATGTAAAAATTGATAGGGTTGAAGATTTCATACTAGAAACATGTGTTCTGGATTTTTTTGAAAAAACTTGATTTGTTAGATTCAGATCTTTGTTTCAGATTTATACAGGCTCTGAATTTGCAGATTTCATATCAGATTCAGATTTTTCAGATTTTTCAGAATCTGAAATTTTCAGATTTTTTTTCAGATTCAGATTTTTCAGATTTTTTCAGATTTTTTCAGATTCAGACAAAATCTGAAAAAATCTGAATCTGAAAATTTAAGTAAAGAAAGTGATGAAGATTCAGATTTTCAGAATCTGAAAAAATCTGAAAAATCTGAATCTGAAAATTATCTGAAAAATTCAGATTCTGAAAAAAATCTGAAAAATCTGAATCTGAAAATAATCTGAAAAATTCAGATTCTTAAAAAACCTGAAAGAAACCTGAATCTGATGTCAAATCTGTAAAATTCCGAGCCTGGAAAAATCTGAAAAATGATTTGCATCTGATATCAAATTCAGATTCAACAAAATTGAAAAATATGATAAACTAGACAGCAAAGATGGTTTGGGAAAATTTTCAGGCCATCTGAATCTAAAGAAACGGACAGCAATGTTTAAACTTCAAACCCATAGGATGTGACAAAAAGAAAGGACATACTTGAACACATGTAGAATTCACTGAATACATAACAGCTACATAACAGGCAATCTAAATAACCTAATGCTACTCATCGGTCTGAAAAGCTCCAAAGATGATGATACTGAAACATTCATGAGTTGTGTCACCACACAGACACATATTTGATCCGCAAGTCTCATCTGATCTAGAAGGTCTCATGTTTGAAAAAACAGTGAATATAGCCAGTCACAAATCAAAAAAAACCGCTAATTGGCAATAAGTCACAGCAAACCTAAAAACTAGCATCCACATCCACAGTAATAAGGAACTGATATACAAATGATTGACTGGAACCAACCTTGCAGGATGCATCCATATGTTCATGAACAATGCTCCATACAAGACAACCAAAACATAAATCCTTCATATTTCTCCTTACAGTCATTTTCTTATATTTGGGTCAGCCTTTGTTGTCCGTTCCCATCGCAGGACCTGGACATCGACTTTGGATAGGAGAAAAAAGGCGCTGGCAAGCTAATTGCCTTAGCTCACTGAGTGTACATGTTTGTTTATTTCGCTTTCGGTCCATGGTCGTATCAAACAAGTGTTCTTTATAGGGCGATTCATGGCAGGTTTGAGTATGTGTTGGGTGAGACCCGTTTCCAACCAATGCTTGTGCAACCAAAAACTTAAACTTACGGAAAAAAAAAAACAAATCCCACTCCGCGCGGCCGAAGCCGCAGCGGATAAATGCAAACCAAATGAAGGAATTAGAAAAGCCAAGCTGACACAGACTTACAAGCTATCTCCTTAAGATGTTCACCCGCAAGTTTGGACGCCTCCCTTTTTACGAGGAACGCAGCGTGTAGCTCCCCGTCCTTCACCGCCGCAGCGTGTTCGCGCCGCATGTGGACGCACATGTTGTGGGCAGCCTGCGGATCCAGCTCGGTCATGCCTGCGCGGACACGTATTGGGGACTGGGGACATGTTGTGTGCATGGCTTGCAAGAAAAAAAAGCCTGAAGAACTTTGTAAGCACCCAGATAACTTTGACAAGCAAGAGCCTGGCACGTACATGAGCAGCGCGGTCATGGTTCCCATAGTTTTCTGCGAGGGCAGTCGCAAGCCCAGCCGCAGAGACAGCTGCAGCACGTAGTTCACCTTGTGCGCGAGCGGGACGTGCACAGCCAGCCGGTCCGGGGCCGCGTAGTTGGCCAAGGCCGTGTAGTCCTGGTACACCTGCTGCTGCATGACTGCAGCGAGCTTGAGCTGGAGCGTCCGCGCTGTCATGCATGTGTCACGCATGTCTTGCGCGGGTGCCGCGCGGGCTCACGCCCGCGGCGGCATGCGCAGAGGCGAGACAACAGCGACTCGGCTTCCCTCTTGCATGCTGCGGACTATGCTCGAAAAAAAGCTAAGTCTGCTAAGAGTATTTGCCCCGAAAACAGATCCCAAAAGCTAACCCCGCTAAACCTTATAAGGGTTGCGACCATGTTTGCTAAGTGTTTAGCTTGGGGTTTACAACAGGGGTTATAAAGTGTGTGATATCTCCTATAATCCCTAGATAGATTCTGGTAAACCTTAGAAGCGGCTTATAAACCTTATATAGGTTTAACCAATTTATCTCGTTTGCGCTGGAGTTTGGCAGACTTATAACCCAACTTAGCCGAGATACTAAACGTTTATAACCGGGTTAACATTAGCCAGCCGGCTAAGTAAGGCACACGTTGACTGTTGACTCAGCATTGGTTTTGGCTTCGTGCCAGATGTCAGCGCTTGCCGACTTACCCTGTCTGCAGCCGCTGAAAAGGGAATGCCGCCTTGCCGGTGTTGGGCCTCAATTTCCTTAATATTTTTCGCCAATGGTCTGTGGCCAACCCAGCAGAACGGCACCCCTCTTGAAAGATTTACATCCCTACAACCACCCCTATTGGGGAATTACATCCCTTGGCCTTTGTAACGCGAGAATACAGCACCAAATCTAAAAACCGCTCCAAGACACAAGCACCAGAACGGTACCCCTCTTGGGGGATATACATCCCTACAACCACTCCTATTGGGGGATTTACATCGCTTGGCCTTTTAAACGCGACAATACAGCACCAAATCTCAAAACCGCTCCAAGACACAAGCACCAGAACGGCACCTGTCTTGGGGGGATGTACATCCCTACAACCGCACTTATTGGGGGATTTACACCGCTTGGCCTTTTTAACAGCACCAAATCTAATACAACAACAAAAACCGCTCCAAATCGACGAGACACAAGCACCAGAACGGTACCCCTCTTGGGGGGAATTTACATCCCTACAACCCCTATTGGGGGATTTAATCCCTTGGCCTTTTTAACGCGTGAATACGGCACCAAATCTATTACAACAACAAAAGCCGCTCCAAATCGACAAGACACAAGCACCAGAACGGTACCCCTTTTGGGGGGATTTACATCCCTGCAACCACACCTATTGGGGGATTTCCATCCCTTGGCCTTTTTAACGCAAGAATACGGCACCCAATAACAAAAACCGCTCCAAAACGACGAGACACAAGCACCAGAACGGTACCCCTCTTGGGGGGATGTACATCCCTACAACCACCCCCATTGGGGGATTTACATCCCTTGGCCTTTTTAACGCGAGAATACAGCACCAAATCTAAAATCCACCCCAAAACGACGAGACACAAGCACCAGAACGGTACCCCTCTTGGGGGGAATTTACATCCCTACAACCACCCCCATTGGGGGATTTACATCCCTTGGCCTTTTTAACGCGAGAATACAGCACCAAATCCAAAATCCACCCCAAAACAACGAGACACAAGCACCAGAACGGTACCCCTTCTTGGCGGATTTACATCCCTACAACCACCCCCATTGGGGAATTTACATCCCTTGGCCTTTTCAACGCGAGAATACAGCACCAAATCTAAAAACCGTCCCAAAACGACGAGCCACAAGCACCAGAACGGTCCCCTTCTTGGCGGATTTACATCCCTTGGCTTTTTTTTTCTCCAAGACCGAGGCCTTTTGCCGCTACTTCTGGATGCAGTTCGTGGAGAAGCTCCTGGCCGTAGCCCTTCTGGCGGCCACCCGGACCATTCGGAGACCAAAATGATGGCGGTTTCGTTTTGCTACGTGCCCAGGTGGCCCCTAACAAAGGGGCGGTGGCTGTGGCTCAAATGGCTATGGCTATGGCTCCAAAATCCTGAGATCCCCAAAAAAGCTGCTTTGGGGCTGGAGAATGGCTATGGCTCCAAAATGGGCTGCAAAAAACACGATTTTGGGGCTGGACCCCAATTAATCTAATTTGGAAATGAGGATTTGGGGGGGGCATAGCATCCTATTAAAAATGGAACACTGGTAAATGGAAACAAGACCGACACCTGCGTAACCCAAAGACTCTTTAAATTTGAGCAACTCCCAAGTCTTTGCGCTCCCCCACGTTCTTGCTGGTTCCCTCGGAAACCAGAAGGCACGGCATAAATCAAACCGATCATTGCGGAGCTTTGAATTTGAGCACTTACCCGGTGGTTTGAGCCGGTTCAGTTTCCAAGCTGTGCACTCTTCCTTGCCAGATTTCTTCTTTTCGTTTCGTGGGCCAAAACGTTCAAGCTAGGTGAGTTCAACATGTTCCCGGTTCCGCCAGTTAGCTGGGTTTGTCAACCAGATTCCTTTGGGTTGCATTTGAACCAAAATGGAATCAGCGATCGCCCGAGCCCCGTGAACTCTCAATTTTGGAAGAAAGAGAAGCCGGTGAGTTTCATGTCTCGGGCTCAAGTCATGAGGATGCAACGCATTCTCATTTGGACTCGTGAACTGGGAGTGATCAAGCCCCATGACATTTTAGTCTGGCAGTTGCGATGTTTTCCTCGGATCAACACAAGAGAGAGGTAAGCCTTGGCTTTTCTCTTTGTACATTGGCAAAGAAAAACGGGCGACTCGCCTGTTTTTTGCGGGGGGCCACGGTTTCCTCTCCAGGCCACGGGGGGGTATTTTCGCCGTGCGTCTTCGTCCGGCAACCCCCCCCCCCCCGGACCGGGGGGCAGCCACCTGAGGTGGTTTCCACGGATAACGCCCTGCACCTGGTGCTGGCCATCGTTCTGGTCATGGCGGCCACCATTGCCATGGTTCGGCCCTACCTGCAGCCGCAGGCGGGCTTTTTAGAACAGGGGTGACATGTGTTGAGGCAAAAGAAGTCTGACCCCACAACCTACAACCCCTACCACCAGGAAAAAGGGTCTCGTAAATTTGTGAAGAAGATCCAAGAGCACCATGCGAAGGTTTGCTGCGCACTCTGTCTTGTGTGTGTGCGTCTGTCATTTTGGTTCCCTGATGACGGTAATGCTAAGTTCGGATTAATCTGGAGCGCCATACTAATCAGGGCTGGTTCTTTCCGTTGCAGGGGTTTCCTTGGATTCAGACTCCACACTCTCATGTTGACTTGACGCCACTTGGCAGATGAACGATTTGCAGTGCCTCTCCATGATTTGCTGCTTGGCTCTATTCGACTGCAACGCTGCACCAGCACCTGCTGCCAGACCGGGCCCGCTTGAGCCAGCTCTGCAGAATGTATGAAGTCGCATGCATATTGCGAGTAAACCAAGGCATTGGACAACACATCGCATCCATGTCAAACTTGAGTAAATCATTCCTGCTCCGTCACTTGTTGGGGCATCCACCGTAGTTCCCCTTTGGGCGGTCTTCAGCCCGGACTTGTTTGGCCGATTGACGGTGTGTGTGTGTGTTCAAGGATCGCTTGATATTTAAGGGGAATATAATACGTGTATATATGTATATATGTAGTGTGTTATAGCGTTATTCATGGTACAAAGGGAGCCCATAAGGACACCAACATACACCAACCATTTTTTGGTGTCCCTAATTTTGAAACCCCACATACGGAATCCTTTGAGATGGCTGCCCTGTAAATCTGAGGGGCGATATTCTCATCAATTGGGGAAATTCCGCTTTGCAAGTCGTGGAGCTTTGTTTGATAAGATACTGTGATATACTTTAAGCTTTACCAAGTGTAGCCTGTAGCCCGCTTTTTGTGATTCCATGTTTTCCAACTTCACAAAATATAGCCCGGGTTTTTAGTTCTATTTCCAGGTGTACGAAACATGGACCATATGTTTTGTGTCAGACGGTTCCCAGGACGCTAGGACGCACGGGCGCCGGAGGTCAGCAAAGCTGAGGTCTTGCCGGGGCGGCCATTGGCTTCTCCGCTGGGACTTCCGGGGATGCGCATTGGCTCTGGCTGAGCCGCGTGTCCTTTCTGCTGCCCTTTCTGCTGGCCGCTACGCAGGCGCTTCGAAACGTTCAAGCTGAGTGGTTGGCCATTTGGCCCCGGAAAATGGGAGAAACCCGCAAAGGGGTTTGGAGGCTTTTCGGATGCGTTCCTATCTCGCGGGCGCGGCGGTCGGAGCTCCCGCTTCGGAGAAGGTGAACAAGAAGCGAAGCCCTCAATGTAAGGAGCCTCGAACGGGAGACTTCAAGAGGTGCATGAATGCTGACCTCGTATTAATCAAACCAACCTGTGTATTAATAGGGGGGTGTCCCTGGTTTTAGTCGGGAATCATCACTTTTGGAGGGGAACACCCCTGGTCGACCAATATGGGATCAACAGTAAGGGCCACGCAAATCTTAATGTAGAATAACAGGTCAATGAGGGATTGGCATTGCTTCGGAAGTGACCAGTAGCAGTCCTTCTACTACATCGTCAACTTGTGATCCGTTTTTCTTTTGCCTTCTTCAATATGCCTTGCTGCATCAAAAACAAGCGCAGCCTTGCCATCACAACAAGTGCAGGCTATACATGATTTCAAGGATCCTACATACATGTATGGACGCACATGCAGTATAGATATATATATATATATAATTTTCAATGGTACCCGCCTTGGGATCTACCGATTCCGGCCCTGCATCCACTTTCTGTTTAGGGACGAGGGCAACAGGGGACAATAAGAACCCACCTCGGTGGAGAAAAGAACATGAGTCGACACCCTGCAGTTAGGGGCCACAATGACGCATAGATTTAGGCCAAAGCAGTGCGAAGTTCTACACCTTGCAGAGGCATGCGCATGTAAGTATACATATATACATACACATCCAATACTGCTTACATCCTGTGCTTGCATAAACACATGCGCAATTTGTTTTACATGTGTATAGTATACACATGCAATGCTTTTACATATATACAAATAAATACAGGCTATCCCGCCCAGGGACCTATTTTCCTCTTTTTCCTCTTCAGTTTGTGATCTAGAACTAGAACCAGGCATCTTTCAACCAGGACTTGGACCAAGGATCTCCCAACTAGGACCCAGCTAAGACAAGAAGCAAGGATTTCTCAACTAGAACTAGGGCTAGAACGAAACTAGGACTCGAAGATCTCACTCTAATTCTTATATTGATTTAATTTCAAGTATAGTTTTCTTTGTAGTGTCCTTTGCATTGGCTATTTTCTTCAGGAGACTAGGATGAAACTAGGGCAGGAACCAAGGATTTCTCAACTAGGACTACGACCACACTTGGGCAGCGTTTTTTTCTTGGAATCAAGGATTTGTACAAAAAAGGAACTGCATCATGTCCGCGTAGGCAATTTAGCTGGGGGGCGTAGGCGCGCGGAGGCATCGCGTAGGCATTTCGCGCACATCCTTGTATTTGTTCTTGCGTAGGCGCGCGCGTAGGCACTTGATGGAGTTGTTATGTATTGTCTGAAGTTTTATGTTTTACAATGCATATGGATGGGCATGAGTTTGGCTGAGTTGTTGCAGACACACTGATGAAAGGGTTCTTGAACCAACATGGCTAAGAATTGTCAAAGCGGTTAGCGGACATTGTCCACTGTTCAAATGAGCAGCGTTGTTTAATCAAATGAAAGAGTTTATACAAAAAGGGAACTGCATGTACTTTGCGAAGGCAATCCTGGTTGGGGGCGTAGGCTCGCGTAGGCTTCAGCGCGTAGGCTGTTGTGTCACCCCTCGCGTAGGCTTTTCGCGTAGGCGTTTGTTGAACAAATCATGACTGTTTGCCACGTATGAAGGAATTTGTTTCTTTTGCCTTCCTTCTGTTTGTTCTGCAGTCTTCGCGTAGGCTCCGCGTAGGCCCCGCGTAGGCACTCGCGTAGGCACTCGCGTAGGCTTTCAAGGCATTGTGGGTGCGTAGACCTTTTCTAGCAGCCAGATCCTTGGACAGATGTTGAATTCTCACTTGTACTGCATTTCTGATCTTAGAGCCGGAGCTGCCAAAACTGCACTTGCATTGAAAAGTTGCGATTTTCCAGCTGGAGCTGCCACGGTGCACTTCGACACTTAAACTCAACGTTTGCCCGCGTAGGTAGGCACCTGGAAGCTGACTTGTGATCGCGTAGGCACCCTCGCAGGCCGCGTAGGCTTGCGTAGGCCTTCGCGTAGGCGCGCAAGTGGTGTATAGGCCCCAAACCACCCAAACAAAACACTGCTCAAATGCTGATTCAGAGCCACGACAAAGGGGATCCCTGCAAAATCAACATGTTATCACGCTTTGGCGGCGCAATCATCTTCCACATCATCTGCTTCTTCTACATCATCTGCATCTGTGTCAGACAACGACTGGCTTGGCATTGCAAAGCTCGAGCTGGAAGAAAGCGGCGCGATTTTCTTGCGTAGGCGTCCGCGTAGGCGCGACCAGAAACAAACATGCGCGCGTAGGCACCCCTTGCAGTCGCGGAGGCGTTGCGTAGGCGCCCGCGTAGGCATGTGTGCAGTGTATAGGCCCCGAGCACCAACAAAAAAACACTGCCCACTTGGGTCAAACTCTTATAGTGCTTGAGTTTGACATTCTTTAGCAATTTCGAAGAATTTCAGTAGACTAGGACTAGAACAAGTAATTTATCAACTAGGACTAGGACCAAAACTAGGATTAGAGCCAAGGATCTCGCACTACAGCATGTGCGTTCTGCTTTGTCCCGGATTCAAGATTCGAGATTCCAGGGAATACTGTTCTAAGCATTTTGAATCCAGGCCCGCATGAAATGTCACTTGAGGGCTGGTTTTATTCGGTTTGATTCGGCTTCATTCAGGGGGTGGGGGGTGGGCTGGTTTCAATCAGCGAATGCATATGAATGATTATTGCGTTTCATTCGGGTTCATTTGGGGATTTTTAGATTGTGATTGGAGTTGTGCCTGTGTTGGATGCTACCCCAAATTCCCAAAAAGGGGTACAAAGCACTGAACATCTGATTTAAATTCCTCTAACAAGGCCATTGGGTCCCTCCGGGGGGGGGGGGGGGAGGAACCATGTATATATATATATACACACACGCACACACCTCACATTTCACATGCACTGTATCATGCGTTATGTATCGCTCACATGTATATACATGTTTACATACACACAAAAGTCTAGACATGTATTTGTATATATACAATATTTGTACATACCAGTATATGTATACATATTACATATGTATATATATATTCATATACATAGAGGTATACACATATCTATACCTATACCTATATATGGTCCCGTGTTCCGTGTTGCCCGAGACCCTGAGCCCCCCGGATCACCCCGGCACCCCCACCCCCCAGGACAAGCCAACCCGCAACCAACCATAAACCAACCCTAAACTAACCCTAAACCAACCCTAAATACACCCTAAATGCACCCTAAGCCAATTCTAAACCAACCCTAAACCAACCCTAAACCACAACCACAACCACAGGGCTGGGGGGGGGGGGGGTACTTGTATGACCCATGACCATTGGGGGGGGGGGGGGGGTGGCTGGCAACGCTGTACCATATATTCATGCCCTCCCCCCCCTCTCAGGTGAATCTTGCTCGCAGGTGCTGCAGCCGGACAGCTGCGAGGCACTCGCCGCGCGCCTGTACCAGGATCGAACGGATCCACGTCGACGTGTTTTGCTGATTCGAGGGGAACCGCTTTTGGTCAGATTGCCTCTACTTCCAGGGACGACCATTTTAGTGGCAAATAGAAAGTTCGGACGATGTTTTTGCCCATCCACTCAGGAAGTGAGTAATTAATTTGAAAATTTGAAACTCTGATGCTTGTAGGGGTAAATGGGAAACCACCCCTTAGCCAAACCACCAATCCAAACCAGCCGTTTGGTCAGCTTCAGGGTTGTGTGATCACTCGAGGTTTATCCAACCATTTCTGTGATGCAATCCTCTCTTTGTATGGCGGGCTCCTTTTTTGCTGTATCATTGGTGGGCATTTTTCCACAGCCCTGGTCAGCTTCCCTCTACTCAGTGGCTTGCTTTGGTGGTTTGGTTAAGGGGTGGGTGCCCATCTACAAGGAAAAGGGGTTCAAATCCAAATGCAAGCCACCAATCCAAACCACAAACAAATTCATGCTTGATTTGGGGTTGGTTTATACAAGGAAACCAACAGGAATCACCATCGTTTTGGGACACACAGCCATGTAGTTCCAACACGTCTTCTTTAGAGAGCAAGGGGAGCTATAGGAGGGATATGGCCTTGGTGTTTGGCTCCTGAAGGGCACACCAATAGTCACTACTCACTACTGTGGATGGACGAAATCCTGCACCACCTCAGAGACCCTGGTATAAATTGATTTCCCTGTAAATACCAACAAACAGTGGTTTCCCATGGTTTCCAAGTGGTGCGAAATGGATTTCGTCCGTCCACAGTATTAGTTTGCAATCGTTTCCCTTGCTATGGCTTTGAATCCGCACATATAGCGACAAGGAAACTGACCTGAGGTTTGGGCAACATATCCCGAGGGGAATGAACTTGAGGACCTACCAGTTTCTTCACGTTTTTTTTTTTTTTTTTTTTTTTCTGCGCATGTCTTGTCACATGGACCTCCAGATATCTATGTGGAGGAAAGTCTATCTCCAATGAAGTTTTTAGTTGCGACCTGTGAGGGTATCATCCTTAGCTTTTCCAGGAGCGGTCCCGCTGAGAAGACTCTAGAATCCCTGGGCCTGGTGCTTATTGCGGGTCTGACAGAGCTTTATGCTTTCAGGCGAGGAGGACGGAAACTGGGGCTTTTTCAGAATAGTGGTCCCCTTTTAGATACCAACCAAAACGGGCCACCTTTTGAGAAATAGTCAAGGGTGGTTTTTTTGAATTGGCAAGGAAGAAGGTAATGGAAGTCGCTGATCTATTGCAAATATTCGCTGAAAGAAAGCAAGGGAGTATGACAATCACGCAGGGATTCAGTGTGAGTATTTCTCAACATGGTGGACCCCCTTTCGCTTGGTACTCAACGGGAAGCCGAAAGGGAGGCAAACCACATGTTTCAAGGTCAGATCTCCAAAATGTTTGGCTTCCTTTTTGGTGCCCCTTGCAACCACCCAAGGTCAGTGCATCAGTCCATCAGTCGCCTCATTGGTATCGGATCAGGAGGCCCGCCAGAAGCTGCCAGAGCTAAAGGAGGAGAAGGAAGTGGAGCTGATGGTGGAGATGGTGAGCTTCCTTTGAGCCTCTTTGGGTGTTTCTGGTTTGTACTGTCCGTGTTTGGCGGTTTCAGAGGCTGACGAAGTCTGCCCACCTCATACCATGCCGCTGCCTGAAGGACAAAGAAGCGAGATTCCCGCCGCATGGGCCGACTGTGAAACCTTGGCAGTTCCCAGCCATACTAGTAGACTTGTAGCTTTGCTCTCTTGCGTTCCTGGACTTCAGTCAATCTGTGGGAAGACCATTGAAGTCGTAAAAGTTCCGACTTCTGGCAATTCACTCGGGAAGCGGTTTTGGAGCTTAGAGGAAATTGACACACCCCACTAAAGAGCTGACTTTCTGCAAGATCAACGAAGCATTCAGAAACGCGTACTTCCTTTGAAAAGAGCTTCGGACCGCAGGTTTGAGTCTACTTTGTTATTTACTAGGGATCCGTTTTGGGCCAATTCCAATTTTTGAGCCACACCCAAGTGACCTCCCGATGATTGTGGAAGATAGTGGTGGACGTCAAAAACCCCTGGGAGCCTCTTTGATAAACCAACCAAGGCGGCCAAGTGGCTGGAGCCACCTTACAAGTTGTGGCAATAGATTCTCATGTCCAAGAGGGTTCAAGGAAATGATTAATGGTTCACATCCCTTTTCACGTCCCCAGGGGTTAAGGACATCACGGGAAAGTCAAACCGTCTAGGCCACCGAAGCCACCCGGAGCTGAAAGGTAAACCGCTCACTTTGCGAAGCCCAGAAACGGTGAAACGAAGAATCCCAGTCACTCCCCAGATCAACATGGAGCCCAAAAAACCATTCGCGGAACCTGTGGGAACCTCCTTTTGGATGTAAATGTGTGGACGTAAATGTCCCTAGTAATCTTGAGAATCAACACATTGAGCTTTTTTCCCACTCAAAACGTCCCACCCCACCATACCGGGTTTCCGTCTAATCCTGCAAAAAGGACACCCCAAGCAACCCCCCTCCCCAAACAAACAACACCCCCCCCCCCCCGCCCCACATCCCTCAAACCCCAACCCCCACCCCCAAAAAAAGCAACAACAACCCCCAAACCCCCAAGTAGTCTTGACAACACAGGTTCCATAAATCCATGTTGATTTGTGAAGTCAATGTCCCAAGAGATCTTGAGAACCTCATTTGTCCTTTGTCTGGCAGGCTGGGCCGTGGAGGGCATCCAGATGCTGCCTGTGATTCCTGTCTGGTTGCCTGAGAAAGGAAACCAGCTTCCCAGCCCTGTTTTGTTGCACACAAACAAATATTTACTAGAGTTTCCTAGAATTTCCCCTGTAAATATCGGCCCAAAAAGACACTCATTTCAAATTGGCTCAACATGCGACGTTTGAAACTTAAAAGCATCGGCTACAGGGAAGTGCAGGGAACCCTAATGTTGGTCATTCCATGGTTGGTTGTGTCCTTTCAGGGCGGTTTGGTTCATTAATGGTTGCCACTGCGCTGATCTGAGCATCCAGTCGGTTTTTCCACTCTAAGAAACCAGCAGGAGTTTCTACAGGCATGTTGGTCAAACATCCATGGAAAACACAACTTTTAACTAACTTCCTGCACTTCTAGTATGATTGGGGTTGTTCAAAATAGGGGAACTTGTGTTTGTTTTGGGGGGGGGCTCATGTTTTGAGTTCCTGCACCGTTTGTGTTCCTCGACTTTGTGCGGGGTTTGGGTCCTGTCACGCCCTTGCAATTTGAGTGGACTTTAGTCGCACCCCAGTTCAGGAGGAGGATACCCCCGGGTTTCACCTTGAATCCTTTTTTCTTTTTTTTCGGGGGGCTCAGCGCCTTGTCGTCGGTTGGGGGTGTCCTTTTGCTTTCTCTTTGGCAGTATCCAAAAGGGGCATCACAGAATTGCTTTGCTTCGAGTGATCCCCACCCAAGACATTTGCCAATTCATTTGCTTAGACGTGTTACTTCTAAAGCCTGCCATGAAGTGACCAAACGAGTCCAACCCTGGCCAGCAATCAATCTCTACTGCGTGATGTGAAAGCGAAACAAACAAGAACAGTGGACAACAACGTGCTGTTGGATAGTCTGGTGATGCTTGGGTCTTGGACATTGCAGATGTGATAGTCTTTGATTCCGTCCCTTTTTTTACTGGGCGGTTTCTCTTTTTGAGTCACGCCGTCCGTCTTTGTCGGATTGATTGGTTCCCTGGTGGCCATTGGACCCGGATCCATAGGTTTAGCCGACTTGGGATCAACCCACTGAGAAAGTAGTCTGGAACAATGGCGCTTGGAGGTTCAAGCAATGCCTGTCATAAGACTAGTTGAGTGGTGTGAACATCCAAGCGTGCAAGGTACCATGTTCGAGGGAATCCGTGGTTATTGTTTCCTCATCTGATACGAATAAATATAATCCAAATCTTACACAGGGCGACTATGCTATCATACTTCGCGTTATTGTGTGTCTTCCGGTGTTGGGTCTTGATCTAGCAGATCTCATCTAGGGGCCCTTGTGAGCTTACAGCTGGGACTTCAGACCTGCGAGGTCCTGGAGGACTTTCTGAAGAAGGACTGGGTCGAGCAGCACTTCCTAAGGTACAAGGCTCGCGATTTTCGGGGCCCGGGCCTCGCTGAATCCGAGATGGTTTTTGTTTTTGGTGTTCGCTTGGGTGCAACCAATCTTGATTATGTTGAAAACCCGGTGTTTCTGTGGGCGTTACTTATGTTGCAACCAACCTTCGGTGTTGCCTTTTGGTTGGGTTTCATACCCCGCCACGTAACAAGACCTTCTGGCTCGTTACACACCCCTTGATACACAGCTCTTCGTTACGCACTCCTTCCGTACACACCTCACATCAACAAAGCCGCCTGGCTGGGTGCACACCCCTCGTTACGCACGATGCATACTCAGACTCTCAGTGACTTCCCATGGACTCTGGCAGAGCATGCTTTCGCTGGGCAAACGCAAAGAGCCAGAATCTGTTTCACCCCCAGCCCGGGCCAGCGACCCCCTTTTTGGCGTCGCTGGCTGGCAGTTGCAAGCTGGAGGCGCGCTTTAGTGGGGGGTTTTCAAGCTGTTGTGAAGCACTGGGTTGTGGGGCTACTATGATGCCAAGCCAATCCCCTTTGGAGACAGTCGTCACGGAGAACATAGAAAGGGTTTTTTCTCCACAACCTTGTCAGGACTCCTCAAAAGATACACTTTGCCCATTTGAAACATCGCTTTTTCCACCCAAATAAAGGGAAACCACCATTTACAAGGCAATGTTCAGGTGTTTAATGTAAGGATCCCTGCTTGTTTGCGCAGCGTTGGCAACTTGTTTTGCCTGGCTGCGCCTGGCTTTTGTTTGTTGCTTCTTTGCATCGCGCCTGGCTCCGGCAGCTTTGGAATGCGTTTGGACGTTTTGGCCTGGCAGGATCCGGCTCACCTGAATCCAAGTTGGAGCAACCCAATGAATGTTGCAAATATTCCCTCCACCAAAACAGCGACATAGCTTTGGCCTTGCGTCTATTCATCAGGCCCCTCGTTTTGTGGCTGTTTTTTAATACCAATTGTGAACAAAGTTACTGTGACTGCTATTCGTGGGCAGAACCACCACACTTTTCGGGCACAGTCACTCCCAGTGTTGGGCAGAGCCACGTGGTTTTGAAGCTGACAATTGTGTTGAAACACCAGCGTTCAAAATCAGGAGTCGTCACTTCTATTGGAGTAACGCGGGACTTGGGTCCCTGTCCCACTAGTTTCCTTTAAGCCAATTTAGAGCTAAACCCTCATTCACTTGAAATACTGTCCAATCAACTGGGCGATATATTTGGAGGTCGCTTTCCTGGCGAGGTGAACTGCGACTCGGACCCCCAGTGCAAGACCTTGGGCTGGTCTTGGCTGGTTTGCATGGAGCAGGCCGAGCTCCCTGGGCTGCAGAACGATCTAAAGGGTTGTTGAAGATAGTGTGTCACAACTTGCGGGTGCTCAAAATGGAATGGGGGAATGAACCTGATGATTCCCCAAAAAGGAAACCACCAGTTGGATGTTTTATAGCATCCCTCATTTCCTACTGAGCACTAGAAAGAACATTGACGGTCCCCGACGGTCCCCAACAATTGGCGGTTTCTTACGAAGGGTAACCCCCAAAGAAGCGAAAGAAGCACACATTCAGTTGGATTGCCACCAAAACGGGGAAGAACAAGTTTTGCGGATTCCCGGGTGGGTTTCGTTACCCTCACCCGTTTCGGTTGGTCCATAGGAGAACATGCTTTATGGGAAGGGAAACCCCAGCTTGCACCCTGAAAGCACTGAAAGCCCTTTAGGTCTGGGCTCACTGAAATTGAACGACTCGCCGCCTTTCGGGCTGGTTACTGGGTGCAGACGCGTTTGTCCTTAGGTTCGACCCGTAACCTGTTAAGGTTGTTGGCAAATGAAAGCTTGGCTTCCCATATGAGCCTCATATGGACAACATCTTCGCACCCGAAGGAAACCTAGCCCAAAGGTTCTCAGCCAATGAGGAAGTTGTCGTTTCCTTCGAGGAGATCCCAATATAGGCTCATTCCCAACTCATTTCTTGATTCAATTTGAGAACCAGCAAGCAACATGAGCATGCTTAAAACACGGAGCCGTGATAATGAGCAGTGCCGCGGTGGTTTGAGCTGGCATTCTCCATTCGTAAGTCTGCAAGTTGATGTTAGTCTTAATTCCTGAGTTCCTGGACTCTATACTTTCTGGGAAGACCATTTCAATAGGGGGGTGTTCCTTCGCGGAGGAGTTGCAACTACAAGGGACAACTCCCTGTTAAGCAACCCAGGGTTTTATTAATACAGGGTTCACATTGCGGTGCATAGTCTACCCAACCTGTATTTGTGCCGGATTTTTTTATTGCAAGTGAACCTGCCATACCCAACCAAACACACCTTACAGGGTTCCGCGTGTTCCCTTCCTTCATCCATCTTACCAAGCTGAGACAATGAGAAGGAATGGCCGGCAATGGCCATTTTATGACCGTCCAATCTATAATTGTACATATTTCGCACACACACACACATGTGGGTTTGTCTTAGAATGGGGGAGTCCCAAAAGCACTGCTCTTCACTGCCTTTTTAAAGGGATTACTCTCAACGTCTCGTTTAGGTTTGTCTCAATCCACTGCAACTCCCACTCGTCGACCCAGCTT